TACCATTAATCCCGCCCACTCCCATCTGTTTGGGCAAAATAAAATGCTTGTCCCATACAAAACAAGACTGACACTTAACACAACTCAAACATCCATCCATCCATTTTCTTCCACTTATCCGGGGTCGGGTCGCAGCTTGAGTAGGGAGGCCCAGACTTCCCTCTCCCCAGTCACTTGGTCCAGCTCCTCCAGGAGAATCCCAAGGCATTCCCAGGTCAGCTGAGAAACATAGTCCCTCCAGCGTGTCCTGGGTCTTCCTCTGGGCCTCCTCCCAGTGGGACGTGTCCAGAACACCTCACCAGGGAGTCGTCCAGGAGGCATCCTAACCAGATGCCCGAGCCACCTCAACTGGCTCCTCTCGACGTGGAGAAGCAGCGGCTCTACTCTGAGTCCCTCCCGGATGATCGAGCTTCTCACCCTATCTCTAAGGGAGAGCCCAGACACCCTGCGGAGAAAACTCATTTCGGCCGCTTGTATCCGAGATCTCGTTCTTTTGGTCACAATCCAAAGCTCATGACCATAGATGAGGGTAGGAACGTAGATCGACTGGTAAGTTGAGAGTTTCACCTTTTACTCAGCTCTCTCTTCACCACGACAGACCGGTACAGCGCCCGCTTCATTGCAGATGCCGCACCTATTCGCCTATCAGTCTCTTGCTCCATTTTTCCCTCATTCGTGAACAACTCAAACAATAAGTTGTAATTCTTCCATGTGGCACACATGCGCAACACTCCTCAAACTTTTATGTGACCTTCAAGGAACGTAGTAAAAATGACAACTGCCTGTTTACTCTGCTTGAACTAGATTTTCTTGACCAAATATGAACAGTTTTTTTAAAATGACACATTTTTAAATGACAAAAGAGTTTTTATCTTTCATATTTATTCCACTTTTATCACTTAGACATTGTTTTTTTTAAGTTAAATGATATCAATATGAACTTAGTTTGTACCATACAGCACAGTTCAAACTGGGCTACAAATGTAAAATTATTAAAGCCTTTTTATAATTGTTTAAGTTTATTGTTCTAATCATAAGTAAAAGCAACAAGTCTTCATTTCAGCTGAATCAAAAGCTTCAACATTACAAACGCAACAACTTTACACCGGTGAACATGTAAAGATTAACCTGCTCTTTGAGGCTGTAATAACTTTTGTCCTCGCTCGTTCTTAATGTGGGCTCTAAATTACATGGCGAGCTAAATGCAGCGCATAAAAGGTTTCCAATATTTTACTGGAAATGTTGTAAAAGCGGTCAATACAGCGAGAGTTATTACCCCCATATCCCTGCTCGTGTCAGCAGTGGCAGTATTTTAAAGAGGTGATATTGTGCTTTTCCTCCTCTTTCTGTTTTATGTAACATTTGTGTTCATGTAAAAGGTCAGCGGGGGGAGAGATCTTGAGCTGCTGAGGGGGTTTACCTCCTATAAAGTCCCACAGCTTGTAAAGCACCTTAAAGCCCCCACCCCCACCACCACCACCACCAGTTCAGGCTTTACACTATCAATGAAGCAAAAGCCTCAGGGTGTGTGTCTGTTAGCAAAATATCTAATTCTCTGAACTTTTAATGCAACTCAGACACTAATCGTCATCGTCTCATGGAACTGAGTGAGATTTTGCTCAACGTTATTTTACGGTTTGACCCGCACGGTTGTATTTTCTTCTTCTCTCAGCACAAGATGATCTGAGTTTATATACATTCCTTCAAATAATACTCGTTTTTTAATTTAAACTTGATTCATGTTTGTACCAGTTGTAATGCTGCTTCCTGGTTGCTGATTTCCCCGTTTCACTTCAACAGCTTGTTTTAGAGTTTGATGTTGTTATTTATTTGTCAGAAACACGTCTGTGTCACGGCCGTGACCAAACCACTCAGAGCTCTTGGTAATGATTGCACAAATATGAGTAAATTATTTATTATTAGCCTTTATTTAACCAGGCAAACCCCACTGAGATCACAGCTTGAGGCCTGGTCCTGAACATGCCGGTTGTTGGACTGAAGGAAACCAGAGGTCAACCTCTGTGCAGAAGGACCCCAGGCCCAACCCTGGACTTGAGCCTTTTTGCTTTGAGGCAACAGTGCTAACCACTGAACCATCATGCTGTCAAAATAAAGACATTCATAAAATCCTAGCATTTGAATAAGTCAGCAAATTGCTTTTATTTTGAAAGCACAGTGGAGCTGTCAAGAGCTGAAGTAAAACTGATCTAAAATAATCAACCAACAAGGACCACTTTGTGTGGGAGTTCCTGTTTCACTGACGTCCTGAGGTCACCAGATGGCATTAGTTGGCCACGCCTGTGAGTCATTCACTTGATGAGATTAAAGGAGCATGAAAGGCAGCAGATGACTTTGCGTTGCTGGAGCATTACAGTACATTACTTCCTCTCCTTCCATCCACGTGCCGCCATTATTCACCATTATTCACTCTCGATGTCTCCTTGCCTGCACTAGAATCATTTGAACTTTTCCTCCTCGATGAGCCAATCTTCCTCCTGTAAGAACAAAAACAATCAATTTACATCCGTTCCAGAAGTACTCCTATGTGACCCTTCTCCTTGCTCCTCAGGGTTCCTGATGTTGCCTGTGCAGTTGTTCACTGTAAATAAATTCATTCATTTTTTTACACAGTCTTGGAGTCTGTTCATTTTCAGTCCTTGTCTCTGGGTATTCTGTTAAATCTTAAACTTTTTGTGTTTAATGTTTGATTTTGTGCTACCATGCAAGCTAACCTTACCCTGTGTTATTTTAAATTATTTTTTGTTGTCATCGTTTAGAAAATACAGAATGTTTTTTTTTTTAATAGCCAGAATGATGTGGCACGGTTGTCCTGATGCTGCTCAATAATTCAGGTAGATAAATGTAACAAGGTTGGGTCAGATCCTCTGGACAGATTCTTCTTGTTGAAATGTGTCATCTTTTATCCAAAAGACTTCTTCAGTCTGAGGAGCAGCAACAAACTCAGTTTTATTAACAGCACCTTCTCATAGTGGATCAACCAGTTTGTTGTTGACATCCAGAACTAGCTGTTCACATGATAAACGAGGACCATCAGCCTAACCACTGGCCGTTAGTGCCCTGATGGCCACTTCATATTCAAAGAGGGCTGAGTGATACTAGCAATAACAGCACTTGTTTACTTATTTATCACTGGTTAAAGTGTGGCACCAGCTGGTCAGTTCACAGACCAGCAGCAACTTAATATATTCACCTTTTAATAATCAGAACTCAGTCACTGATGAAGAATCTGCTAATTACAGGGAGTTCTATACAATAAGACATGAATATTCATCCAAAGTAGGAAAACTAAATTGTCTTTGAAATTGTATTGCAAAATATTAAACAATCTAAGAATAATCAACAACAATAATTAACAATCAAACAACATACAGTAAGTGATAAAGGACAATACTTTGAAGAATAACTGGTTTTAAAAGTAGTACTGTAAATCAATAATAAACAATCAAACAATAATTAATCAGTTAAGGATTGATTCTCTTTTATCCAAATTAACTATTTGAGAAGAAATTATTTTGGGTTTTAGACGCACACAAATTTAGACTAAGTTTGACTATTTAATAAATGGTTTGCTTTGGATTTTGGTTGGAATAATTTTTTTATGTGAGCAGATCAAGTCATTTATCATCACTGCAAGCCAGGAAATGATTTATCAAGTTGCATCAGCTAAACATGATATAACCAGACCAAGATTTGCATCATGTCACCAAGTTGCTCCTTGCCGGGTCAGTTCGAGGGCACCAGTTCACTCATTTTTCCGGGTTCTGCTGGTGGATCAGACCAGGTTACACCACAAGGAGAACAAACCTGGAACTGCCCAAGGTAGATGAAAGTCACTGTGACTGTCGGTGAGGACGACAGCTGATGAGAAGGTGTGCGGGCGATCAGCCGCACACTTCAGCCGGCTTACATTTCAAGCTGAAAACATGAGTCTTGCAGTGAGAAAAGCAACGCGTCATCTTTGGTGGTTTCTTAAAACGTCTACTTCTAACAAAAACTGAACAAACGTGTCTGTTTGCTCAGGAATAAACGAAGACAGACATCAGACAAACACATAAGGGTGAGAAAAAGGTGAACTGCCTAAATGACACAAAGAAACTTTGTGTGAACCATCATCTCTTGAAATGTATTAAATTTATATATATATATATATAATTATTATTATTGTATTCAATATATTATTATATTTCACACGATTTTATTAAAATAATTGAAAATAATAACATTATTAATTTTTACACCTGTTATAATCAAATAAAACAAACTTCATTAATGATTTCTTTTTTCTTTTTTTAAATACAGCAGGCTGCTTCTGACTCTGAGAGCAAGGACAGTGAATGTGTGAAATTATCAGACATCATTCAAGTTTAGAGCAACTTTAAACAACACAGCTTTTGGTGAGTGTGGAGGACAACCCAAGGGTCAGGGGTCATAGTTAGGAGAGCGCATCTTCGTGCTACATTGCCTTGCTCAAGAGTAGCTGTCCCAAGTGTTTCTAATATAATGGGCTACAGAAAACATATAAATAGGACTGTAAAAAGTATTTTGATTACTATCCATGAATTTAATGAGCCAGCATGGAAAGAGAAAAGCTCTAATGAAGCACATTGTGGGTACAACCAGAAGGATGTCCGTTTCTTCACTGACAGAAATGTGAATTACTCTGTTGTCACAGTCCAGCGTCAATCTGAAGCTGGTTTTGGTGTAATGTGACTTGTGTCACATTGTGTGTTTGTGTGTGCGTCACACAATCCAAACAGTGTGGGGACATTTATGGTTAACAGAGACAAGCAGTCGGTTTGTTTCCCATGTGAGAAATCAAGAGAGCCACAAACACCAACATGACACTGACTGTTCAGCACAGTTCCCCTTTCTGTCTCCACGCTCAAACAACACTTCCCCGTCCTGTTTGTCTTTTGTCTTCACGGTCTAACAACACTTCCCCGTCCTGTTTGTCTTTTGTCTCTTCCTCACGAGTCCGAATGAAGACGGTCGTAGAAGAAACGGTCCCTCTCAGGTAAGAAGCTCCATCAGGTCGATGTGGTTAAATGTCTGTAACTCTGGAACATTTTCACAGAAAGGACTTTATATTGATAATATATACTATTTGAATGTTTTTATATTTATACTGATTATTATATTAGAAAAATATATTTCTTCACTGAAGCACAGAAGACTTCCATTTGTAATAATTCTAAGATGACAAAGCACAGAAGACTTCCATTTGTAATAATTCTAAGATGACAAAATGCAAACGTAAGGTTCTTTTGTCCGTTCACTTCTTCAGGGATGACCACGGTGAACTCACATGAAAGATTTGGCTATTTGTTTTATGCCCTTTATGGTTCAAGCCCTTCCTGGGTTTGAACCTGCAACCTTGGAATTACAAGAGCGCAGCACTGACCACTGAGCCACCGCTAAATGTTTTCATACATCAACTGATTTTTGTTTTTAGTTTTCTTCTTTCGACTTTTCATGCATCAGATGTATGAAAAGAATATTAGGTTAGGTTCACAATAAAGATTATAGTTGCTGTTGTTGGCTCATCTAAGTCACCACTACAAGACAGGTTTATTAAAAAACAGTCAGTCAGAAATGCAGATCTAAAAGTGAGCCTCAGACAGCCAAATCCCCTGGGTGTGGCAGAAGTATCTGATTATCACACACGCCAGCTTGAAATGTCCAAGATGTTGTTATATGCTGCACTGAGAATATGACTCATGCAAAAAAAACAAAAAACAGATTTTACTGCCTCATTTAAGAGTGTCATGATTTATTCCAAATGTATTCAATATTTCGGTGAATCTAAGGTTTGAGAACTGAGTTTTCTTACAAAATCCTAATTACGCTTTCCTTATTTTTTAGGGGTGCTGAGTTAAACTTTAGGGGTTCTTGAGCACCCCCAATAAGAGGCTAAAATCACAACTGGACTGTGTAAGTATATATACATACA